TATACATACATGTATATATAACAATCATTCTTTAAAAAAGAGGAGATTCCAGTTTAAATAGCCAAAAAATAGGTTTTTACGATTTTTTTTTTTCAAGAAATGAATAGAGATATCAATATAGAGTTTCGACCATACTGTTTATCACTATTTTAAGTATAAAACAATTGTTTTAAATAATTGAAATTCTGTCCAGTTTTTTGTGCTAGACACAACGTCGCCAGATGTCTCTAATTAGTGAGTAGTATTAATTGTAACATGTTTTTCAATTTCATTCCGCACTACTTTCGCACACTTTCCGCATATATTACTACTTTAGCAAATTGTCTGCATACGTCCCACATTACATTCCGCACTACTTCCGCACATTTTCCATATTCTTTTTGCACTAATGCTGCATATTTTCCACATTAATATCACGCTATATTTACATCTTCTCTGTATATTTTCTGCAAGATTTTAGCAATTCTTATTCTATTTATTCTATTTATTATTTATTCTATTTATTTTATCAGCTTTATCTTTGTACTCTTTCACAAGGATATATTGAAATTATTTTATAGCAACATTATATATGTATATATATTTTATTTTTAAGAAAAAAGTACAAAAAAGCCATCAAGTTCACGTGTTTACCTACAGATATAGAATTGTACAGAAGCTAAATTAACTAAAAAATGCACAAAATTAAAATAATTTTAAATAATTCATATTAAAAAGAGAATAGTTGTTGACAATATTTAGAGTCATTTTATTATTCAATTTGTATTTTCTACAAATAGTAACATCACGAGATTTGCGCCGAGAATGATCATAACAAATTATTAACATTTCATTTTCTTAATTATGTTCCGTTACTTGAGCCAAATAAAACTAAAATATTAAAGTAAAATTCTAAATTCTAAATCTTGTTAATAAATTTTCTTTTTAATATAATTTCTTATTTTGTTATATGAATGGAATATAGAAACATGGTATCAGTCAGATAGCTGCCAAAACGGCTAGCTACTTCTCTAGCATACATTACCAAATATACAAAAATATTTTAGTTTGGTATACTTTAGTTGCTGTACTTGAGCACATAAAAAAAGTCTATTATTGGCCAGTTACAAAGCAGCTCATATTTTGCTAGTTGTATTACAATTAAAAATATAAATGTCACATATATATCATATAATTTAACTAAAACACTTAGATTTAACTCTGAGTAAAAATCTGAATATTCCACATGAAACAAGTTTCAAGTGATAATTATTAATACGACTCTTAAAGATAACTTCGGCTATTCATCGCTGTCAACGAGTTCTCGTGCTTTATATATTGCGTGCCCAAAGTTTGCTTCGTAAAAATAATGTTCTCTGTTACTTTCCAGATAAAGAGAAAGACCGCGTCCAAGGAGAGCGCCGGGAAAGCCCCGAAGTTGGCCAAAGCTGGTACGGGTAGAGCGGAACAGTCGCGGGAATATTTGGAGGATCAATCGCGACAGAAACAAACTTCTGAGGGCAAGCAAGAGGAAGAGGAGGACGAAACTTCAGCGATCACTGACATTGTCGTAAGATCATTCATAGATATCCGCGATGCTCAATTTTCTCGGTATTAGCAATATCTAAGACTAAAAAAGTAATTTCTTTTTATAATAACTTTTAAAAATAACTCATGTTATTTATACGCGCGCGCGCGATAAAATTAACGATCCTTTTCATTACCATTAGCTCAAAAAGATAATTGCGTTATCGCTTTTCTATACTAAAAAGAAAAATATCTAAGAAACAAAAAACATATTTATTCGCTGAATATTGATAACAAAATTACTTAAAATATAAATTATCTTATTTAGATAGAATTTTAACAACTGCTATTTAGTGAAAAACTATAGTTTTAAGAATATATATATTTTCCCGTCTAAACAAAGTTTTCTCTCGGTAAAAAATTTGTGTTACCCCTAAAATCCTTAAACGTCAGAAAGTTCCGTAAATCCTAAACATAAGTAAATTTTATCCAGAGCATTTTCATTTGTTAACTTCTGGGAAAATAATTTAAATTACCACCGTCTCTTCTTCCTTTTTAACACGTAATAAATAAAAATATAGCTGATAGCAGCCAACACTATATAGAAAGAGACATTGTCTATACACATTAAAGACAATGTAAAATTAAAGATGCAAATGTATCAAATACAAAAACAAAAAAGATACACACTAAAAATACGGATACTGGATATAATAGATTCGGATTGAAAGCTAGATCTTATGGGGATGCTGAAATCACAGAATAGTAACATTTTTCATTTGAGAGAGAGAGAGAGATTGTCTCTACAGCAGGCAACGTGAAACTAAAGAGACGAACTTTTACGACGAATTAAGTGAAAAACTAAAAAAGATACAGATATAAGATACGTATACGAGTTGAAAACAAGGTCTTGGTGTATCAATATAACCAGCGAATCTATATTATGACTAGAGGCGATCATGATATAATATAGTGATACGACATAAGTCTAGACCCGGCTTAATGCGTGATTTCAAACCTGGTCTTATTCATCTACGGTCTGCGTCACTAATTGCCATTAACACTAATCAAATCACCATCAGATTCCCGATAGCGATCTGTTTGAAGTCGGAAGCATCGACGAAATCTACGGCGAAGACAGTGAGCACATGTTAGATCCCGGCTGTTTCATCGCCATAATCAAACGGAAGGAGATGATGCAGTTCGATTCGCTCTTCATGATCAAAGTGGCCGAATCAAAAGGACTCTTTGGCGAGCCCGACAAGGAGCGAAGTCCGAAGCAGAAAACCGATGTGCAGCCGATACGTGAGCCGTTGCGAGTCAGTCGCAAGTCTTCGAAACGCGCTAAGGTATATATATATATATATATATATATATATATATATATATATATATATATATATATATATATAATATATATATATAATATATATATATATATATATATATATATATATATATATATGTATATAAATCAGTGAGGTATAAGATAAAGCGGAAGTGTTTTCATTAAAAAAAAAATATATATATATATTTTTTTAGTGAAAACACTTCCGCTTTGTCTTATATCTTACTGATTTTGACTAGCAGAAGTAAACTTTCACCGTAGTAAAATCTGTAGTGTAAACGAATTCGTTATATAAATCCAACTTCTCGCATTTGTAGTGATAAAATTAACGGCTTCCATGTCTTTATGTTTAATGACATTGTTTATGAATAAGAACAATCAATACTATTGATTGATTTTTTTAGCAAAATTTTATTGATTAAAGTGTTATAACTAAATCACCAGTTATAGAACAACCTGGGATATAGGGAAGAGCGGGGCTAGATGCTTCATAATTTAGAATTTCAAAGTTACAACTTTCCAGACTAAGTGGTGTGATTAACTGTACAAACTGATAGAGACAGCCTTTTTTATGTGTTAATGCTTGCCACGACTTGTTAATCGTACTTTTTTTATAATAACCAAAATATGAAAATGTAACGACCTGGTCATCTGGACGAATATTCAAAATTGATTTTCTCGGGAACAAAGCTTCGTACAAAAAAATATTATTCTACATTTTCGACTTATTTTTTCATGTAGAATAATTATACAATCCCGTTATGCTTTGAAATATATAAATTTGGATTATGTAGTATAAAACATCACAGATTGTTGATATTTGTATAAGCGCTTAATTAAAATAACGAGAAAAGATC